CACCTCTAAGGACATGGTGTGTGGAGAGTCACTTGTACTTTAACATCTTGGTCTTGCCTAAAAAGTTAAATGGGTAAATGTATGACAACAGTGTAAAACATACTTTGTTCTACATGCTTTGTTCAGAAAAGCCTGGAATGTAGCAAGCACTCAGTCAACGGACATGTCTTCAGTATAACCTGCTTCAAAGATCCCTTCAACTAAATTTTAATCTTCAGCTTATTCCCACCTGCTACCCAACATATATATTATCAAGTATTATCATCCACTGCCCAGCTACTCTGGTTAACAAGTTTAAAAAATTATTTGAATGGATCTAAATGGGTCACTAGATATGCAAATCAGCTAAAATACATGTATGGCAGGGTTCCTTCAATGACCTCCCCCCTCCCCCGGCAAAAAAAAAAGTACATTTTTGAAACAACCATCTCAACTACTCCTGTTTCATTTAGCCAATGGGGGATTTACAGCACTCAAATAAATGGACCTGCATATTATTAACACGAATTATATTGAGATTAGTAAAATATCTGACTACACAGGAGTCTACAAACTTTAAATGAAAAAGATATTCAGACTGCCTTCAGATCTGGGTGCCAGTATTTCTTACTTCTTCAAAGTGTGTAACAGGGTTACATAAATTGAGACTAATGTTGTTACATTCATCCTCTCTCAGTTACTGCTTATGTCTGACAGCTGATATTGAATCCTTCTAAAACCATTTTTCCTGTGATGTAAGTTCTTTGATAATAGTCCTTCAGTGTTAGTTGTTGAAAATAAGTGGTTAATTTGTCTGAAACTTCTAAATCTTCCTTATATACACCCCCCACACACACTTAAAAAAAATCTTACATTCATTCCACCATTCAGTGTAGATTGGTCTACATTGGGGCTATAATCGTCTGAAAAGCCTTCACGTACTTCAAGCCCATACCTATGTAACATCAAACTATACAAGTACTACTTTGGTTCAAAGAAAGAAAAGGTCCTGACTATGAAGTAGCTTACACAAACTACACACATACTTGTACATGAATGAGGGGAAAAGACCAATTTTAGATTTTTAAAATTTTGATGATTTTCCCTAAAAATTCATTAAATTGTATTAATTTGTTTTAAATTTGTATTTTTTTCTTACATCATTGCAGACCCCCATTGTTCTTCCACCACCACATCATTTTGACCACCCCCCCAACTTCCTCCCTTGCTATATACCTCAGATCCATAGTCAGCTTGCTAGTTTT